ACTACTTTACCTACTAAACTTATTTTTTCTCAAAGTAATTCGAAGTTTTCTTAGAACCTTGCTACCACTACAATCGTACCGGACATACCGGTAAAATCTATGTCAATTCCTACTACTTCACTGTATTCGAGTACCATCCCACTATGTACTGTAACACCGTCTGTCACGAATTTTTCTGTTCCTACTACAAGCGTCGCCTCAACTTCCAAAGCAGCTCTCAATCCACCACATTTGCCGCAGCTAAGTGAGCAGGTAGGAGCGCATCCTTCTTTGTCTTTGGTGTTTTGCAATTTCGAGTTTTAGGCCCTTATGGCTCTTTTGAAGGAGAGAGTTCAACTTGGTGATGTTAGACTTACACTGCTAAACCTTTACTCAAATGAAGAAACGCCTAATTACCATGTTAGTTCTTTTGTATTTATTTTACACAGAACAATTTTATTCTAACCTTAAGTGAACTCAACTGTATTTGTGGCTGTAAAAATGCAAAGGGCTGAAAGCTTTGATACCTAGCCCTTACCACCTGTTTCGGGAGCGAAAAGTTGAAGTGAGTCGTCTAATGGACGAGTTTGTCCTGTGTGAAAGACATGCGAAGTTGTGCCATTAATGATTTGAACACCAAATAATCGCATTTGACTGCGCAGGAAATAAAGTTTATTGATAATTAAAAGCAATAGCTCTGATTTTTTTCATCGAAGATAGAAGTGAATAACTCTTCCTTATGCTTATATTTTTTTAGTTCCTCCCCACAATGATTGAAATCGCAGAGAAAGCTATTGCTGCATTGGACAACAAGGATATGATAGTCTATGCCATGTACAAAGGTATTATTCTGGTTTTGTTTCTTGAACTCCGATAATGTTGTTTCTTCATGTCACAGGTTGATTTGTTTTTAGAATTTTTTTCTGAAACTAAGGATTTTATTACAGCTGCTCTGGATGCTGGTTGCGCTCAGCTCGGAACCATAATGCAAGCCTCCAATCCAACTGGTTCGTAAACATAAACTGCTTTCATTATGTTTTTTCTGTATGCTGAAGAGACTGATTGTAGATCCAGCAAATCAGATTGCTAGCTTGGCTAGTGCAATGGGTATTAATCCAACACCCTTTGCGTCATTGATGCAGGTAATGCTCGCTGGAAGTCTTGTTTTTCTTTTACTTGAGTAAGGTTGCTAAATCTTTTTTTTTCTGCATTTTAGTCCAACGTTTCACCATGATTCTTTGGGAGCCTAACTACACTAGATTAGCATTTGAGCATTTTCTGATTAGTTTTTTGAATCATTCTAGATGTAAGCGGTCATGATAACAGAAATGGTATATTCGGATATCAGATTGTGGAACAACAATTTTTCATATTTCGCGCAGAGTTTTAATGCAAATTTTTGGTTTCCAATTGCTCATTTGATTATGTTAAATTTTTTCAATCTAATAAATAACTGAACTTCGAGAAATATCCAAAGAATGAAGATTTTTGCGGTAATTTATTCGGATGGGTGTAGTGTCCTTAAAATTTAGTGAAAATCAATTTTTCTCATTTAGCTAACCAGTAGGAAGTTGAGTACGTTAGAGAATTGCATGAGCATCCCTATTTAGCATGTTGCACAGTTTAGTTTAACAAGATAGTGACTACAATAAGCGATAGCGATTTGGTTGTTGCTGTTAAAAAGAATTAAGAAAAATGAGTCTTTTGCGAGAGTGAGGTGTACC